ATAGCGAGGGCATCATCTGCAACAGACGCTGGCCAATGTCCTGCATGTGTTTGGCCATTAGATCACACAGGACGGTAAGTGTCCTTTAATAGGGTTACATTACCCTAAAGACGAAACCAGAAAGGACACTGTCTTACTTTACGAGAGGACATAAAATTAATGATACAGACGTGTGGGGAATACTTGAATTAAGTGTATTAAAAAAGGTAAAATATTCAGGTAGCATACCTAAATCGTAATGCTGACATTATTGAAAAATATATGTGCCTATACGAAAAGATGATATAAAATACATTTAACAATTTCTAAAATAATAATTAATTTACCCTGTATGTTATGCAGATTATGCAGGGTGTCCCAGACTGAGGGCGCATTAGAAGTTTCTAGAGAACTACAATATCTAGAACGGAGATTTTTTGCAGATCATTGTTTCACAACGATATCTATCGATCAAAAATATGTTCAATATGGCGGCACTTCCGGAAATACCTGAAGTTGACAGCAATTTTCTAATTTTAAATGGGTGCCCCCATTTTTTATTAAATTCTCTGGAAAATTTTATGAATTTTGATGTCAAACACTCTATATAGTCTGCCCAACGACAAGATCCTTGACAGAGATAGATGTGTTCTTATTTTCAAAGTAGTTTGTTTAATTTTACAAAGAAATAAGTTGCTACAATTTTGGAACGCATAGTAGAAAATTAATATATTTAAAATTTGAGTGACAAGTGATTACTTCGAAATATTGTGAAAAAAACCGTATGAAATTGAAAAAATCTAGGTAAAGGTGTGGATCCGGTGGCTGACCTTGAAGCCCATATTTGCTGCTTTTGATCATCGATACTACGCAAGCGCACATCGTCGATGTTGCCAAATTGCAGTTTATTTTCGAATTATTTGCAGTTGAAATTTTTTTTTGCGTGTTAATCAATAATAATACAAATTCTATAATTAATTTTATAATTTCAGATTTATCTTGATATCCAAAATTAAGGTAAGAAGGATAATGAAGATTGTGAAATGAAAGTATTATAATATATAAAATTGTAATAATAATAACATTTATTTATATGTTTACATTAGAATTAAAATTTATCATTTATGGATTTTTTCTTAATGGTTTTAAACGTATTAGAATTATTTTATTTCTTTTAAGTTATTTAATTTCTAGTTATTTACAGGCAACAATATTTTTGATTATATGTATTGATGTTTTGAAGTACTACCTGAGTACTACCATGACGGGTCTTATTATAGAACAATAAACGTCAATCGGAGATAGAGGTAACATTTTACCTATTATATAATGTTACTATGTAATATAATATACTTTGATTATAATTAATGTTTGTATCATAATTTCTTAAAAATATCAAGCATAGATATCAAGTTAGTGGATTTTATCGAAGAGTGTGTTGATAAGACTAAAATAAGCTATATGTTTTATCTTTTTCTCTTTAGAAGGGAGATGGTTTGTATCGTAAAATACATTACAGTATTTAATATCGTATACTTTGTTATTCTTTTCTTAATTTACTGTAATTTCTTGTTTCCTATAATGCCAAATCTTGACAATATGGTGAAGGTTGAGTTTTGATCTTATTAGTTTTATAAGAATAATATAATAATAATAGAAATACAAGACTAAATTAAGACTTAGTTTGTGATTTATATTAAGATCTTTCTTATAATATTTGTTATGTCTTCATCTTAATACTATATTATGCTTGGTCTGGAATTTAAGTTGTTTAAATAATGTTAAAATATCTTAATTTTGCATATCCTATTCATCCTTCCATTAGGAAAAATATAGTTTATAAATCATATATGCTAAGAAAATCACATAAATTAGGTGTAAGAATAGAGAAATCTTAATGCAACAGAAAAATTAATGCAATATATGTATAAGCAGAATTAAACAAGGTAACTGTTAATGTTGCTGAAGCTGATTCTACAATTTTAATTACGGAGGCTAAAAGGCCTTTTAAGGCCTCCGTAGTTTTGATGGAATGTTAAAAAAAATCTATTATGAACATGACATGGAGCTACAGCATTTAAAAATTAAAAAAAAAGAAAAAATTTGGACACATCCCTTTTAATTTCCCGAATTTTTAATAAAGCACTTTTTAAACGTAGCATAATAATCTAGATAGGAATCTAGAGTTTTATTTCTATATAATTTTATTGACTGAAAATATATAATAAGCGTTCACGTGTTGTGCGAAATATTAAAATAATATACCGCGTACTATGATTGAAAAAAAAAAATAGCGTCAGCAATGACTATGAAATGAAGATCGCTGTTATTTTATGGAAATGTCCTCAATCGTCATTTCCCAGACAACTGGACGCCGTTTTTTCGATCATACGGTATATATTGACAAAAAAACACTGAAAAGCACATATTTGTTTTCTACTGAAAATAATTCCAAAATAACTCACAATCTGGCAACATCGAAGATGTGCGCATGCGTAGTGTCTGTGATTATATGCAGCAAAAACTCGTTTCAAGGTCAGCCACCGGATCCACACCATTACCAAAATCTAATCGAGTTATTTTATTAAAAACAATTACAGTATGTGTTAATACAACACAAGCAAGGGTGTAGTTTAAAAAAAACTCCAGATACCAAAAAAATATATAAAAAAATTCCTACTTTCAAGCTTAAAAGCAACTTCCTGCATTTATTGTTACATTTATCAATATAATTATTCAATATGATTATTATTTACCTATCATGTGCTGCTATTTTACAGATACTCCAGTTTTTGGTATCATATACAAGATAATATACAAAATTTATTTGTGGCTAATACAACTCTCTGGCCATAATCCCTGGCAAACTGTCTCTGGGCACCGAATATTAACTGTAAACTATGGTCTGGGTCAACACTTAATTTCCCCTTTGAGTTTTCCTCCACTTAATTTTAAAAAAACACGAAACAAACGTAATAATACAGTCCAAAATGCAAAATATTTACCATTTCTATTTGACACAAAATATAACCACAGATTATAACCTATAATTGGCAAGAGTTTGACAACTCTCAAAAATCTTAAGTCGAGTTCGTACGCATCGGCGCGGCGTCCGTTTGTCGTTCATCGTTCTGTTAAACCAATAATATTGAAATACGATCTGTCATTTTTGAAATAAACCAATAAAACTGGTTAAAAACAACAAGAGATGACGCATGGCGGATTTTTATATGAACCCATCCATAATTAACTTAAAAAATATTAGAAACTTTTTTTATTACAGTTGAGGGTTGGAACCTTTGGTGTTACACAGCAAAATAAAAACACTAAATCACCACAATACACCAAAAAACTTTTACTTTTACACTGGACGCGCGTTTCGCTAACCATGTTAGCATCATCAGCAGATGATTATAAACTAAAGTATAATCTACAAGTTGAGCGTTTATATACTAGCTCAGTGGGCACCGAGTGGGCGTGGCAAAATCTAGTCAACCGAGTCAGAGCCCACTGAGCGTAACAGTTAGATTTCCGCCACTAGAGTAGTAGGAACAAAGAACTTGAAGGAATTGTAACGTTGTCTCTGTTCATACTATCTTTACATTTATTAATTCTGATGCTTTCATATGCATCTAATTGCCTGTAATTTGAGACTGGTTTAATTAATTTTAGATTATTAAGGTCTATACAATGTTCTTTATCAACAATATGTTCGACAACGCAAGATTTATCCGGTCTACCATATCTTATCCGAGCTAAATGTTCTTTAAATCTAGTTAATATTGATCTTCTAGTTTGCCCAACATATTTCTGATTACAATCTTTACAAGAAATTTCATAAATACCCGACCTTTCCAGTGGAGGTGTTTTATCCTTTGGATTACCTAATAATTGTTGTAATTTATTATTAGCACTATACACAAGTTTATAATTGACATTCTTAAAAATTCTTTTTAGACCACGGGATAACTCTCTATCAAACGGTATCGAAAAATATTTAGACGTATCTTTCTCCACTTGAAAAGTCGAATTTTCAGAAATCATTAACCTATACCTACGTTTTCTAATTAATTCATCAACTAGTGAAGGAGAATATCCATTACACTCAGCTACATTCCTAATGTAATCTCTTTCTATTTCATATCTTTCGTTGGAAAGTGGGAAACTAAGTGGGGTATTTATGAAATTTCTTTTAAAGATTGTAATCAGAAATATGTTGGGCAAACTTGAAGATCAATATTAACTAGATTTAAAGAACATTTAGCTCAGATAAGATATGGTAGACCGGATAAATCTTGCGTTGCCGAACATATTGTTGATAAAGAGCATTGTATAGACCTTAATAATTTAAAATTAACTAAACCAGTCTCAAATTACAGGCAATTAGATGCATATGAAAGCATCAGAATTAATAAATGTAAAGACAGTATGAACAGAGACAACGGTCCAATTCCTTCAAGTTCTTTGTTCCTACTACTCTAGTGGCGGAAATCTAACTGTTACGCTCAGTGGGCTCTGACTCGGTTGACTAGATTTTGCCACGCCTACTCGGTGCCCACTGAGCGAGTATATAAACGCTCAACTTGTAGATTGTACTTTAGTTTATAATCATCTGCTGATGATGCTAACATGGTTAGCGAAACGCGCGTCCAGTGTAAAAGTAAAAGTGTTTTGGTGTATTGTGGTGATTTAGTGTTCAAACTTTTCTTAGTTAAATAAATGGATTGGTATGGACGTCATCTGCTTTTTTTTCTGTCGTTATGTTACCTGAGAAAAAAAACAGAGTATACATAACCATTAACCGTTTTTGAAAAAAAAATATTTTTGGAGGCAAAAAAATCTCGTCAAAAAAATTTCTATAGCATAAACGTCAAATTTAGTGATTACCACAGCCACTGTGACATAAAGAGAAGACATGTGGCTATCTATTTCAAAAATTAAATTGTTCGAATGTCATATAATGTTGGCCGAAGCTGCCACGGTTTAAATTACTGTTTACACAATAAAACTAAAATAAAGTCCTACCTTTGTTGAGAATCAAGTAGTCCATAAAAAGCAGCAGAGTCCCTTTTCAAATTGTCCTCACTGTCACTAATTCCCACCTCAGAGTTCGCGATGGATAATGTCTCTTTGAGAAACTCACTGTCCAGCGCGTTTTCAGGCACTTCAAACGAATTGTATGGCGTGATCTCCTTTTGGAAAGCTTCCAAGATCTGTTGGGCTTCGACGTCAGGTGTCAGGGGAGTCGCATGCCTCGGGAGGAAAAAAGTCTCTTCCTGTTTTCTTAAACGCAAATCTTTTGGTCTAGGAGGCACCTGAGGCCTCACTGTTAACGATGGCAAACAGGATACATGAGCTTCATCGGTACATATCCGCTTCTGAGTTTTAGACAATCTGATTCGGGGAAGGTACTTCATGATTTCTTCATTTTCGCGTTGAATGCCGTAAGAAGCGTTCGTGACTGTTTGATTGTCGATCACTAGTTTAAAACTAACCTCAAAATTGCCCGGCTGTTTTTTGGGAATCAGAGAGTTTGCTGATTTGGGTTTATCTAAGTTAGAGAAGAAACTAAGAGCGCTTTTAAATCCTGAAGGACTTGGTGGTACCTCTCCCATAGTGCTTGTATTAAGCAAAGTCTGTTAGGTTTGGATGAAACAATACACGAGTGTTTATGCAAAGTGTTCAGCATTTTTTCCGATGGTTTATCATAATATTTTTATTTCTACAATCTAGAATATAGAGAATCTTAATCTTATTTAATTTAATAAAAATAAAAACGTCAAGTATACATGGTGAGTCTTAAATAAGTGCAAATATTTTAGGGGTTGTATATTTCGACCTCAGAAACACGTCTATAAAGTTTTTTCCCCGCGAATTTTTTTTGTAAATTTGGAATTTTTTTTAATTTTTAGTTAAAAAACATATCTTCATAATATGACAACATAGATGGTAGATTAAATTTAGAAGAAAGAAAACCCAGAAAAAGACCCAGCGGTTCCTAAAATGTAGGCGAAAAATCAATTTTTTTGGAAAATTTCAAAGTAAAATATCTCGTTTATTTTGGACTTATTTGAAAAACGGTAAAGAGAAAATATGTTTCTTTTATCGAGATCTACCAGCCCTGAAAATATTTGCACTTACTTAAGACTCACCCTGTATAAAGCACAATAATTATTAATGTAGTAATATGACCTCTATTGTACTGGACCACTCTATACTATTATCGATAATAAAATCGTTAAAAAGATTAACTGGAAAGTAAGTATACCGGGTGAGTCTTAAAAGTGGCTCACCCCTATAACTTTTTTATTTTTTCAGTTAAAAAAACGAGATTTAGTATGTATGACATAAATTAGGATTTATTGACGTATTCAATTGTTTTCGGTCACTTCCTGTTTCACTGGAAATGACAACAACTTTTCATTTTTAAATGGCACCCTAGGAATTGTTTTACTTTATTCAATAGAAAATGACACTGTGAATAGAATGACATATCATATGTCAACTTTTGACATTTTCGAATATGGTTTATTTGAAATTGTAACAAGTGGTTATTAACGACAATTTGAGTCGAAATACCAAGTATGTGGTATCAAATTATTCGTAAAAAATTGCTTTTTCCAAATATGCTAATGAGCCACCCTCGTTCCATTTGAAAAAAATGAAATATGATTAAAAATTACTAAATTATTTTTCCAAGGCTCCTTGATTACAAATTAGTGTTTTTAACATACCCATCGCACTCTAGATTGAAGTTGAAATTTAAAATACAATTTTTTATTAAGCGAGAATGTCAACAGTTGACATATGATATGACATTCTATTCAGAATGTCATTTTCTATCAAATAAAGTAAAAAATACCGAGGGTGCCATTTAAAAATCAAAAGTTAGTCATTTCCGGTGAAACAGGAAGTGACCGAAAACAAATGAATACGTCTCAGTCAATCTTAATTTAAGTCATATAGTAACATACCAAACCTCGTTGTTTAATCTGGAAAAATAAAAAAGTTATAGGGGTGAGTCACTTTTGAGACGCACCCGGTATAATCGATTTATCGTTTAAATCCATATTATGTTCATGACGGTCAAAATGTTAATGGAATCATAAAGAAAAAATACGACAAAGGTATTTATAAAATTGCTATCAAAGTGTAATAAATAAGTAATAAGGTTATTATATTTTTGAAGTCTGTAAACTTTTCTCAGTTTTAAAAACAAAAGCAGTCACAATATAATCGCGATTTAATTCCCACATCACACATCACTTTAAGTAAAAAATTATGGAGTACTTTCACACTTGCTTGTATGAGTAATATACGATATTCAACGAAATTTTCGATAATCACGTTTTTTTAAACAAACTATAATAAGAATAAGCGAATACAGTGCACACATAACTGGAGAGAATCCGTAAAATGACTGTCTGTGTGTCCGCGGCTTGCACTTAACTAAAATTTAATCGGATTTTAAATGATTCACTTAACAATCGAACACATACGGGGTGAATAAAAAAGATAAAAATGTCCTCATATATTTTTTGAAGAACATGAAAAAGTAAGTATCCCTTTGTAATATTAATTCGTAAGTATGTAGCAGGGTTCGGTAATATTTCATACACGTTATACAGGGTGAATCTTAAATAAGGGCAAATATTTTTAGGGATAGTATAGTTTAACCCCAGAAACACGTCTATGAGGAATTTTTTTGCAAAAATAATTGAAAATTTTGAATTTTTTGACAAATTTTTGGAACTTTTTTTAGTTTTTACTTTATAAACATAATTTCTTAGGTAGTAACTTAAATTCACAAGAAAGAAAACCCAGAAAAAATCCAGTGGTTCTTAAAATTTTAGCAAAAAATATTTTGACAATATAAAAAAGTCATTTTAACCCATAGGCATAAAAGTGAAGCACTTTTTTTAAATATTGTACTGAAGTATTTATATTTACTAAATTTTGTGTTTTTAAACGTTCTAACGTCTTTAAAATGTCAATATTCCATGGGTATATTGATAAATAAGGTCTAATTTATAAGAAAATGCATTTTCTACGAAAACTTGAAGAGATAGGTTGTAATGGTATAATACAATTTGATAGACAATTAAATTGTGTATCTGATCCTCATAAAATATACAGGGTGTTTCATTTAAATTAAAAGTTATTGCCGTTTAAAGCTAGAAATTATTTAAAATAAATTTTTAGATACTCTGTATGAGGTAGTATTATTTTTATTCTTGGAAAATTTATTATTCTTGAACCTTGTAATTAAATATTCTGTTTTTTTTTCCAAACCTAAATCCCAAGAAAATTAAAAAAAAAACAGATTATTTTTATTATTGCAACACAATAAATGATCAATAAATAAACTTCAGTAAATATTTAGTATTAAAAATTTTGATACCCTTGGAGAAATGAAGCCGTAAAATTTTTACTGCAAAATTGAAAATATTTCAAAAACGTAAAGGTTTAAGGTTAACCAAATTTATTAGTAGAAACTAAAAATGTAATAATATACAGGGTGTTCCGTTTAAAAAAATACAACTTTGACATTTTTTATTTATTTGGGACACTCTACAGCTTGTAAAAATATTTTTAAATTGTAGCTCTAATAGTCCTTCATCGAACCCAAAAGTTACAATTTGGAAAAATCTAATCGTTTAGCTAGACTACTTCGTGTCGTATGTGGTTAGGTAGTAACGCTAAAACACCCTATTGCATTCATCGTTGTAATATTGACTCATCCTGTATAACTGATATTTTTATAAATTAGTACGTGTCAATCACGTACCGAGGAAACAGAGCTGAGTCAACTGTGGCAAAAACTTCATGCTTTTATTTCCATTAACTGAAATTGATTTTATTGTTTATAGGACTTTTTCATTCATCTTGTTGTTAAAGCGCGATAAGATGTGATGCATAACGCATATTATGCCAGGCTTTAATTGATAATGCATAGTTTATTGCAGACTAATTCCATTATTTGGTAAAATAAATGAAGTTTGAATATATCTAAACGTTTTTATGCCATTGAACATTTATTGTAAAATAATTTTTTTGAGAACCACGGGATCTTTTCTGGATCTGGATCTACTACGTATGTTGCCATATTATCAAGAAATTATGTTTTTTAAATAAAAACTAAAAAAATTTTCAAAAAAATTTCCAAAGATTCCGAATTTTCGTTGGCGAAAAAAACTTCATAGGCGTGTTTCTGGGGTTGAATTATACTACCAGTTAAAATACTTGCACTTATTTCTGGGACACCCTGTAGGTATTCATCACTAAAACATCAACATTTTGTTTTTCCTGTATAATTGACCGATGGAAACTTTCATCCTTTCATTTTTAATTTAGAAAAAGTTAGTAAAAAGTCAAATAATTTGGCTACAAATTGCCTAAAAAATCATCAAACATCATCGGCCTACTAGAACAAAATACATTCAACTTTAAAACACATCAAAATTTTAAGATACCCGTTATTTCGTTTTATAATCTTCCATATTTTAATTGTATTATCTGTAGACAATGATTGTATCACGAAATTTGCTGACTAAGAAATTTCACTTTCGTAAACTACTAAATAATCACATTTTGGTAATGTTTAGCAACTGTTAGCGGTGATAAAGTACGGTACCGTCGCAAAACGTAGATAGACTGGCTGGTCTGATGTTTGGTGTTTGCTTGTGGCTTATAAAAGAAACCATTGTGCTTGATCGGCAGAATTAGAAAAGAGACCACACGGTTGGTTGTAAAGTAAGATAAGGTTAGGATCGTTGAAATTCTGATAAAACAGCGATAATACAGAATCTCTTAAGTGTCCTTTAATACCAGGTCCTGTCTAAAAGTTCCTATACGGGTATACAGGGTGGTCCGAGCTGTATTCCTGAAACTTTGGCAGGATATTCTGCAGATAAAAATAAGTAAAAAAGTTCATATAAATGTATGTTCTAAAATGCCTAATTTTGGAGATACAGGGTGTAGAAGTTTCATTTTTATTTCGATTTTTTCCAAATAATTTATGAAGTAGCGTCAATATTTGGATGAAAATTGGTGTCTGTGAGTTTTTTGACATGAGAAATTTGATTTTGATGTCAATGTGACTCCTACTTGTAGAGGGCGCCACCTACACATTTTTTAACTGGTTTGAAGAGTAATAACTTTTCGTCCGTACCTGTATAAAACTACTGAGTAAAAAAAATATACATTTACAACGTCTTTAGGATGGCGCGCACTGAATGGGTATCGGCGCGAGCGAGCGGCACGTAATTTTCAGTTTACGTTGAAATAAATGCACCGCGTTAGATCGGTGCGCTTCGAGATATCGGCGCCATTCGAGCTATCGGCGCCATTTCCCATATAAATTTACATATAAAATGACACCGACCTTCATTTCATGGCCATCGCTGATGCCGTTTCTTTTCGATCATACGGTACTATAAAATAAAAACTATATATTTTTTCTTTTTTTAATTTTCTTTGACTTTTTTATTATATTTTAAGGTTTTAAAATCTTGGTTTTAAGTCAGTAGTGAATAAAACGAAACTTTTGTTTACATTTTGTTTAATGATTGACGTTTCGACCAATTTTAATTCGGTCTTCTTCAGAATCTATAATATACAATACTATTTTATCACTAACAATGTGTTTAATATATAATTTTTCTTACCACAAACGTAGAACATAATTTATACGTATACTAGCGTGTACCAGCGACTTCGTTCGCGTCGAATTAATCATTTGTAATGGTGATGATAAAGCAAAGCAAGAATTTCCAATAACATACAAACTGGATAAAATTTTCTCATATTTATGTCAGCATGAGAAAAAAACAATATGGCGATATTATTATACAACTTGGTAATATTTGAGGGGTATTTTCATCTCGTTTGAATTTGACTTTCGAAAAATCCGTTTGCCAAAAATAAGCTTTTTACGTCAAGCAGTTTAAGCAGAATCGTGGTTAAGAAATTACCCAACTTTTTGGAACACCCTGTATGATTTTTTAAAAAAATTCCAAAATATGTAAAAAAAACAAATAAATTATGCTTGTCCAAGCGTTTTCCCGAAAGTCTAACCGTTTTTTAAATAACAAAATTTGGTAATATTTGAGGGGCGTCTTCACCCTCTTGGAATTAAGATTCGAGAAATCCCTCCTTATCGAACCTCTACACCCCACAGTCAATCCGTTTGCCAAAAATCAGCTTTAAACGTCAAGCAGTTTAAGCAGAATCGTGATTAATCAATGGTCATATTTTATGAAACATCCTGTATAAATTTATAA